CCACACTCTACACTTTCCACTCCACAATCAACACTTTACACTTTACTCTTTACACTTTACACTCCACACTTCACACTCTACACACTACACTGTACACTCCACACTCCACACTCTACACTTTACGCTCGACACTTTACACTCTACACTCTACACTCCAAACTCCACACTCCACACTCTACACTTCACACTCCACACTTGACACTTTACACTCCACACTCTACACTCTACACTTCACACTACACTCTACACTCTACACTGTACACTCCACACTCCACACTCTACACTTTACACTCATACTTTGCACTCTACACTTTACACACTCCACACTTTACACTCCACACTCCACGCTCGTCACTTCACACTTTACACTCCGCACTCCACACTCTACACTCCTCACTCTACACTTTACACTCCGCACTCCACACTTTACATTTTACAGTCCACTTCTACACTCGCCACTTCACACTTTACTCTCCATACTTTACACATCTTTTCACCTTACACTCCACACTCTACACTTCACACTCCACACTTGACACTTTACACTCCACACTCTACACTCTACACTTCACACTACACTCTACACTCTACACTGTACACTCCACACTCCACACTCTACACTTTACACTCATACTTTGCACTCTACACTTTACACACTCCACACTCCACACTTTACACTCCACACTCCACGCTCGTCACTTCACACTTTACACTCCGCACTCCACACTCTACACTCCTCACTCTACACTTTACACTCCGCACTCCACACTTTACATTTTACAGTCCACTTCTACACTCGCCACTTCACACTTTACTCTCCATACTTTACACATCTTTTCACCTTACACTCCACACTCTACACTCCACACGTTACCCTTTATACTTCGCACTCTACACTGCACACTTCACACCCCGCACTTTACACTTTACACTCCACAATTCCCACTTCACACTCTACTCACTACATTCCCCACTCAACACTCGACTTTCTTCACGCTCGATGCTTGCGCTCCACCCCATTCCACATTCCACAGTCTACAATGCACTTGTATAGTACGAGGGGGAACATGTACAAGCCTGTTCAAATAACTTGTTTCACAAAAGTGTTCTACGTGATTGCGTTTGGGTTCGTGGCCTGCATCTTGTTTGTCCATCTAATATGGCCTTGATGTGGTAAAGCCTTTCAATCACGCCCAATTTGAATTGGGTTGGCTATTGGGTTGACCGCATTAAGCACCAGGCTGGGATTTCTGATCAATTCTCCAGCCACACACTGTCGCACTGTGGCACTTTGAAACATGGAGTTTTTGTGTAATGAGGTAAGCCAGGCAAACACTCAAAACATGGACTAGCGAGTAGTAACCCCCAAAAATTGGTAGAATTGGTAGAAAAGTACTTTACCTCTATTCTACCACTCTAACAAACGTATTTTGTTGCTATTTATTTGATCTTTGTGGGGGTAGTTGCCAGACGCTGGAAGGATAGGGTCAAATTCTGATGACCCCAAGCTACGGAGCAGACGGATCAGTGTATGAAATCGTCTCAAGTTGTTTGGTAGGTAATGCCCCCCAGTGAAATGTTTGTTGGTTTACGAAGACATTTTTACAAGTATGTACACATTAATGCATATTATATATTATGATATTGTCTCTGTATATACGTATATGTATATATATGTAGATATATAGATATATATATAGATATAGATATATAATATAATTTAATAATATATAATTTAAATAATCTAATGCAATGTAATTAAATTTAATGTTATACTAATTTATATTATATTTATTTATATATATATATATATATATATATACGTCATTAAGTTATATAATATGATTATAAACCATCTTGACCCATCTCCACTGTGAAGTTTTCATCGCGCCCAGTCGAGGACCCAGAAATGGTTAATATGCCCAAGAACTCTTGGGGTGTCATTCCATGATTTTCAGGTGTTTCCTTACATCAGAGAGAGAGAGAGAGAGGGGGGGGGGGGAGAGTTTTTTTCAGGGATGTTGAAATTGCCAACCAACAGCTGTAGTTTATAGATAATATTCAATCATTGGGGGTTCATATCCCCAGTTTTGCCCGCTGATATTCTCATGGTATCCCTATATTTACCAACCTCTAGAAAGTGTTTGCGCTTTTGGTTTGAATCAATTCAATCTTTTCAATTTTAGGATCCCATTTCGTCCCGAAGGCCCTCTGACATTTTCCACTTGACACATTTGAGCGTAAGGCCGCTGGGTTTGGACCGCAGTCCGGAGAATGATTTGGATTTACCAGCAAAGAGCTGGTTGGTTATGTCAGACATATTAAACCTGTTTTGAAAAAACCTATGTTGATGGGATGATGGGCATATTTTCAGGAACCGTCAGCTTGATTATCAATCAGGATTGAACTTAACACAAGAACATGACCACATCATATCTAACTACATGTCGCCAGGAAGACTTGGGCTGAACTACAAAATGGGGATTTCAACCCTCCAGCCGCGTAAAACCTGGGGATGAAGCGGAAACCATGGTCCTGCTGAAGGTGATTAGAAAGTACTTGAGTTCAAGAGTGAAGGCAAAATCTGCGTGGTTTGTTTCTATGTATATACATTGTTTACGTGCATATTAAATGTATAGATAGATTAGATTAGGTTAGATTAGATAGATAGATAGGTAAATAGACAGTCATAGAGATAGATAGAGATAGAATGAGATTGACAAAGATAGATAGATATAGATAGAGAATGATAGAGTTAGATAGAGATAGATAGAGTTAGAGAGAGATAGATAGAGATAGATAGAGATAGATAGACAGATAGACAGATGAACAGATAGACAGACGGACAGACTGACAAATAGATAGAGAGAGAGAGAGATACCTATTCGAATATCGAAACTAACGTACACATGCAGTAACCACTAATAAACACCACCAAGCTTTACCAGACATGGATGGTAATAAAAGACATCCTTACATGAGATGTTTATCATAGGATGTAATTGGATTTGCCACATTAGTCAACACATGTTTGCCTACCTATCTAGTCAACCCTCCGCTTTAGCGTTTGTCAGGAAATGTCGCACTTGTGGGATGTGTGTGGCTCAACTTGGACTTCAGTGGAGTTCGGGGAGGGTCGGGGGGGGGCAATTTCCGGTCACAGTGGCGAGTTAATGAGCTACGTATGTTTTATCATGTTTATTTTGACCTTCACCTTTCTAGACCATAATTACTCAAAAAGTTGTCCCTATCATTTCCTATCTATGCACAAAAATCTGTGAATTAGTGTATATTTATTTATCCCACATGTATGTGTGTGCGCGCGTGTGATGCGCTTGTTATTTTTTCCAACCAATAAGATGCCCAAAGTCGACAATGCAAATATTGTATCATCATGTTCTATGATATTTATCATTTTCTCTTATATATGCATAATATGTATAAACTGCTACAAGATGGGGTATACTGGTAATTACTGGTATGCCCAATTTCTGGACCAAACCATTATTACAAAACAAAATTCATGTAGTAACCATTGGCATGGGAGCCAAGCAGATTATTTGAGGAGTTATAGTCATTGAGATGGGATGTAAATTCAATATCATGGGAAGGGATGAAAAAATATCATACTTGGATGCGCATCCCACTTCGTAAGTGTTGTGTAATCCATATATGACCCCTATAATCCATAAATAAGTGATGATTTTACCATATATTTCATTTCCATATATAAGTGAGGATATACCAAGTCGGGGGTCCCACTCCACCAATCAGCAGGGGGAAGCCAAGGATGACGGCACGTTTTGTTGTCCTGTGGCAGTGAAGGGCTGAGGCGAATTGATTTCTGAAATCGAATTTCAATGCTGAAAGCGACCTAATCCCCCAATGAAAACCCTGGTTCAAGCGCAATTTGATTCATTTGGGGTCCCCAAAATTGCGGGTATCTTAAAATCCTTCATCAGGGGATGGGATGAAAGCTGACATCGACAATGTGTAGCTTGGAATCGTCCGTGGATGGAGAGAGCAGCTGAACCATGTTGAACCCAATGAAAAGAAACGCGGAGCTCCCGACGGGAGTCCGAACAACATGTTCATTATGTTGGAACATGATTGGACCATGGGAAACTTTGGGACATACCAAAGTTGTTTGCAGTTTGGGTGCCATTGGGTGCCTTGTTTTTGTTTTGCTGAAGTTGATTTGGGTATTGGCAGCTGCTCATGGCATAACGTCGCTGGCAAATCATGTACCTCCCAGTGCAGCAATGCAGCAAGTGTCTTTTTGAGAATTGTGTTTAGATTCAGTTAAGACATGTTTAGCAAAAAAAATCCGGCAACAAAAATGTTGGGATCTTTGGACGTAGATTGATCCAACCCGCGCCATGCGACCTTTGCACCAGAAGACGTGCGACGCTGGGACTATGCGACGTCCATCGTTAGGCTAATGCATTTTGCTTAAGACCAGCAATGGACATGCAGCCGCATGCAAAGCATGAGGTGTATGCTGCATATTAGGCTTGCCCATTGCAACAGAAGACATGGCTAAGAAAAAGGCAGTCAGACTGAGCAGTAATGTGATATCATGTGATGGTCAGAGTGTGACAAGACCTCGTGGTCACTGAAAATGATTGAAAATGTAACTGGTTGGTGGTTTCAAAGATTTTTTCCATAATTTATGGGATAATCCTTCCCATTGACTTTCATATTTTTCAGAGGGGTAGGTCAACCACCCATCAGGTCAGATTGAAACCCCCTTCTTCCGCTGGCTTTGGAAGACGCCTTGAACAATATCACGGGCTCCTGATCTCAAATGGTATTAACGGTATCATCTGAATGAAACAATAATAAAATATAGTAAACCATCATCCAATAAACCATCTTTATGGGATAAACATGTATAAACTATTGATTCATATGGGTACATTGCTTTGCTAACAAATTAATTAAGTTTACGCCATTCAACACTTTAGTCCGGGGTTTGCATTGTCGCGGCCGCAGCGGCGCTGTGCGATTGCCTCCAAGCCATATGTCCGCTGCCCGTACAGGATTGTCAAAGACTTGGAAATGTGGAGATGGAGCGTTGTCTTCGCAAGCACTTGCCGTTCTGCAGAGGTTGAAGCAATTGGAACCAGTCCAGCTTCATATTGCCCTTTGGAAGATGCGATAGATTTTTATGAAAATGCCTTGGCATATACTGATCCCTTTTTTCGAGAAACGTCCTTGCCGTGGATTCGAGCCCATCTTCCAACCCTGTTGCTTGGTTTCGCTAAGTCGGTGATTGTTGTTTCTGTATGTTTCTCAAAATCTACTAGTATGACGATGTATGATGTTCGTTGTTGCCCCTTAAGCCAAAGCCCATTTTGGGGAATCTAACTCTCGTGGAGAAATTAATTGTCCATTCTGCAGCAATCATGTTTGGATTCTACATATTCAAACATAATTTTCCCAAATTTTCCGGGCTCGCAGATGCTCGTGATGCATATCAAGGTTGGAATATGCTCGTCGCAGTGGCAGCATCGCTGAACTTGGCGTGGGCGAGGGCTGGTCTTCTGTGGCCTTCACTCGAGTGGCCCTGGAGCGTGGCCGCCCGGGCGGGCGATATCGATATCGGATGTATGACATCGTAGCTGGTTGGTGTTTGGATCCCCATTTTTGTTAATTAGTTCCATTTCTAGATGAATTTATATGATGATAATGGTGCTCAAGGCCCATTTATAGGGGTTAAGTATGAATTAAGATGGGTTAAGTGTCTCATTCATAACCCCCTTGTTGGCTGAAACATTCCAAGGCCAGATCCCCGAAACTGGACATGATTTTCCCTTTCGTGGTGAACTGCAGCAACTCTGGGTTTGTTTGATGTATATTTTTTGATTTATCACCATCTGTCTTGGTGAAATAGCTGTTTTTGCTGATGTTTTCTGTTGTCCACAAAGCTGGTTTTGCTGAAGATGATTTGGCTATATTATATTTAGTTCATTTTCCTGGGGAATCCACTATTATGGGGGAATCTGCTCAGGGCATGTGATCTCCAAGGCAATGTGGATTTTGAATTTTACGAGGGCGATGTGTTGAATCAGACCTTGCTCGAGCAAGTTGGAGATCAACAGGGACCTTTCCCTCCAGTTGATTTGCTGTTCATCGACACCTTGCACACCTTTGAGCAGTTGACGGCGGAACTGGAAGCTTTTGCCCGCAACACCAATCTCTACATCATTCTCCATGACATGGAAAGCTTTGGGAAACACGATGAGTTCATCCACGATACGGTCACATCAGTCTCATACCAGCGCAAGTTGAAGCGTTTGGCGGAACAAGAACAGCCTCTGGTTGGTGGTTTCAAACATGTTCAAGCAGTTTCTATTTTGTCAACCCTGGACATGGACTGATAGGAATGATAGTCCCAACTGACCATTCATATTTTTCAGGGGGGGTGGCTCAACCACCAGGCTACATCTTCAAACGCTGATGCGAAAGCATGAGGTGTCATCCGCGAAGGATTTGGATAAACACCTGAGGGAAGAGGCAAAACAGAAAGCTGCAGAAGACTTGGCTCACCAGTCGGGACTTCACAATGCACTGAGATTTTGGCTGCAAGGACCTGCTGGGGACGAATGGGAAACTGGCTGGTGGTTTCATTACGTTTCATAGGTTGATGTTTGTCTATTTTCCATCCCTCCGGGTTGCTCCATGTTGCTCCAATCCATTAAAGGTAAGTGATCGTCACAAGAGGGAACGATTGGCAATTTGAGCTCCCTATCCACCAAACTCATCCAAGTTCCCCTTGCACAATTTCCCCTAAGCGCGGGATGAATGGACAGGAAATCTTGGAACATTCCTTGGCAGACAATGGGCTCACAGTGCTTGGAAGGATCCATCCTAGATCCACTAAGATGCCAGTGGAAAGCCGGGAGAATTCCACTGAACATTGCAGGCGCCAATTGCAGAAGATCAGAGAACTTGCGTTTCATGGCTTAGACGGGCTGCCAACAAAAATTAGTTGCAATTGTTATAGAGCTTTTCCCATCAAAGCGTGTCAATAGGAAAATGACCAACTAAATTGGGCTGTGCTTTCAAATATGTGGCATGTTCAACCATAACTGGGAATCATCAATTCTCAGCGAAAACATAGACCACCAGCCTTCCGGCACAACACGGGCGAACAGTCTGAAAGTGGAGGTACCAGCTGGCAATTTGACAATGACTATGGAAAATCGCCATTTAAAGAAGTAAAACATCTATAACTGGGCAATTTTCAATAGCCATATTATATTAGCAGGTGGTATATTCCAGATTGTTTTTGGTGAAATCCCCACAAATCACCATACAATCCCATTAGCTCACTATATATCCGGTCGAGTCCCATTAAACCACAATAATTTCCATTAAATCAAATTAATTAATCACCATGGAACCACCATGAAATCCCATGAAATCAGCACAAAATCACCATTAATTAATCACAATGGTTTACCTCAAAATAGTGATTTTCCCAGAAATCGCCGGGAAAATCAGCCAAATCAGCCACCTTTTTTCACCGAGGCTTCTCCAGCCGCTGTTGGTGTTATCACCGGGTACTCCAGCAGCGACCGAGCGACGACAAGTGCAGAAACTAAGGCGGCTCCTGAGGGCGGCGCGACGACTTTGCCCAGGCGCCATGGTGGCGTTGAAAAAATCGGTGGTTTCATGGGGATTTAATGGGTATGTAATGGGAAACCCTGGGGTTTATAGACTTATTAGTGGGCAGAATGAGATCATGGGAATAGAATGGATACAGAATGGAGATTATAGAGGTTTGATGAGTTTAATAGCTATATACTGTAGGCTGTATAATCAGATATAATTGGAATTTAGCCTGCAAATGTTTCATGGGGTATATGGGTAATATGGGTTTGGGATATAGTGGGGATTTCATAATAATGGGAATATGGGATTCAAGGGGAAACATGTTTTTTTCTCCTGTAGTAATCAAACGCAATAATTATGGTTTTATAGGGATTATAGTACTTGTAGTGGTTTAATGGCTATATAATGGGAAATAATAATACGGGACATGATTGTACATTTAGCTTCCGACAAACATATGTAATTTCATGGGAGGATAGTGAGGTGGTTATAGAAGTTTAATGGGTACGTAATGCGAATAGTATGAGGATTATAGTGGTTTAATGAATTTGATGGCTATATCATGGGATGTCATTGGAAAATTAGCTTCGAAAATGGTAGAACCAATAGAACCATCAGCGATCATGGGGATATCATAGGGGTGTAAAGGGATATGCAAGCAATAATCTGACAATAACAGGGATTCAACTGATTAAATAATCATTAAAGCTGATGAATCAACAAACAAAAATGGTAGTATCGTGGGGGTGCAATGGGATATGACTAGTCACAATCTAACACACATATTCTGGATGAAAAACATGTATTGATGAAAACCTGGGGGCCAAAGATATGTTGGGGATCACCAAGGCACTGGGGGTTTGAAAGTCGTTTCTTTATGGGCGCCAGAATATTGGCCTTGATGGTTTTGCTGAAGATATAAGTCCCACTGAAGATTGGATTGGATATTTCCTCCAAAAAATGTGTTCAAATCTTCTATCCTGTACTTCCGGTGTTTTGTGAAGATGGCGGGCTTTGATTTGAGATGACTTTAAAGTCCCACTTGGTTCAAGAATCAAGATTCCCCCAAACATGTTTTCTGGCAGAGGGCAACCCCGTGAAACCCAAATACTGGAATGTACTGCATCAAGTTCAAAAAACAACTGTTCCAGCAATATTGAACCTGGAGTCCACTTGAACTCAAGTGACTGAAACGTCTTAAGTTTGTGTTGGATTCAAGCTTTGAAGCTCCCCATGCAGTTCTCGAAGGTCAGTGGGAAGTGAGAGCTGCCATGCAACTGCTGCAGTGGCACATGGGGATTCATAGCCGCCCAGCTGCTCCAATAGGAACGGCACAAAGGCAGAGTGCGGATTTCTTCTTTGCCACGTTGGCGCATCGGGACCAGCGGGACCAGCGGGACCAGCTACAATGGATGCTGGGGCTGGGGACTTTGAAAGCTGGGATGTTCACTGCATTTTCCATTATTTGTTTATTTTGTTTTATTGTTCTGCTTGAAAGCCAGATGTTTCCAGATTTTTTTCTAGTGGCCGGGTTCGACCGATGGTCCTGATTTACATATATTTTCCCGAGGATAGAGTGGCTTGAGGAGAGTGTCACTCGCTGGCCTTTCAGACTTGAAGGTTGCTGGGTGGTTTAGAACATCATTTTCAGTTCAGGAATGGGATGATGGAACTTCCAAGTGGCCAACAGATGAATAATATTGAAAAATGCTTATTTCTCCATGCTTCCAGGAAGAAAATGGTATGGGATGATGGTTTTCAACATTTTTCAGGTACAATACTTACCAACAAGATACATCCAGCCCATGGAATTCCCCAGGTTCCCAGCATAGGTTCAAGGGACGATTTGCTGTTCCTATATTTCTGGGTAGTAACCCGGCTTTCCTGTAGGATCAGCGATGTCCTAAATTCATCCAAATTCCATCAAATCACCATATATATTTCCGCATCACAAGCTATAAATCCATATGGATCCCGCGTATTTTGATCGTTCCTACAATTTTTCAACGGTTCCCAGGTTGGTTTCACCTGGCCAAACACCTCACGTCGGATCCACGGGAACGTCCCCGTGCCATTCACGCCTGGCGGCGCGTCTACGTCTTGCCCCAGCGCAACCGCTGGGCGGCGCTGGCGGCGGTGGAGGCCTTGCAATTTTTGGGCCGTGGCGATGAAGCCGACCACTTGCGGAAGGGTCATCTGGTCATGTCTATGTGAATGGGGTTTTGGGGGAATAGCATGGGCATTTGGGAGTATCATGGACATTTAATATTATAATTATACATATATATATATATGTATAGAGGTATATATGTATAATATAATTATTAAATCTTTGATAGCATAAAACAATATAATATAATATAATATAATATAATACCAGTAGTATCTCACAAGGCGGTGGCGGAAGTTTCAAAAATAGGAAAGCTATAGGAGAGATTGGTTGTTGTGAATCACGGACGGCAGAGCGAATCCACTGATGGACCGACAGATGGTTGGAGTTGTGTTTTGTGGAGTGGCTGCAATGGTTGCAGTGGTCACCTCACCACAACTGCTGGATGTAGTGTGGTGTAGTGTAGTTGTAGTTGTAAGTGTAGCTGTAGTGTAGTGGAGTTGTACTTTTAAGTTGTAGTTGTAATGTAGTGTAATTAGTGTAGCGTAGTTGCAGTTGTAGTTGTGGTGTGGTGTAATTAGTGTACTGTAGTGTTGTGTACTGTAGCGTGGTATAGTGTAGTGTAGTCTAGCGTATTGTAGTGTAAAGTACTGTAGTTGTAGTTGTAGTGTAGCGTCGTGTAGTGCAATGTAGTGGTAGTTGCAGTTGTAGCGTAATGTGATGTAATTAATGTAGTGCAGCGTTGTGTAATGTAGTGTAGTTGTAGTTGTATTTGTGGCTGTAATGTACTGCAGTGTAATTAGTGTATTGTAGTGTAGTGTGTGGAGCTGTAATTGTAGTTGTAGCTGTGGTGGTGGTAGAAGTAGCAGTAGCAGTAGCAGTGGCAGTAGCAGTAGCAGTAGCAGTAGCAGTAGCAGCAGCGGCAGCAGCAGCAGTAGTAGTAGTAGTAGTAGTAATATAGTGTAGTGGTAGTTGTAGTTGCAGTTGTAGTTGTCTATCTATCTATCTATCTATCTATCGATCTATCTATCTGCAAGCTTGAAAATAAAACGAAGCTATTCTGCGAGACTTCCTCAGTTTTTGAACTTGACAACATCAAAAGCGCAGCAATTCAGCGAGACCTCCTCAATGCTTAAACTTGACAACATCAAAAACGAAACAATTCTGCGAGACTTCCTCATTTTTCGAAGTTGACAACATCAAGAACGAAGCAATTCTGCGAGACTTCCTTCAAAAATGGAAAGTTGAGTGCAGAGCTGACGGCCTCATACCATTGCGTTTTGCGATTTTGCCACTTCACCTGTCTAAAGCATTGCGCTTGCCACGAAAAAGTGATGCCAGTTCATACGAAGTGCTGCACCTGTCACGCAAAATCATCTTCCCAAAACTGAAGATCTGATGCTCCAAAATGCAACCCCTCTCAGGAAATCAGCGCCCGGACCTCATGGCATCTCTGATAAACATGTCTCTTGCACTGCGCCTGCCACGGAAAATTCATCTTGGCAGATCCTCTTCAAATGTCCTACGCCTGCCATCGTTTTTGGAAATGCTACACAACCATCACACGTTTTGCGCACTTTTGACAAGGTGCACAATCCCGTGCGCCTGCCACGTAAAACGACATCTGAACGTCCAAAAGTGCTCCGAACCCCTCAGTTTTTTTCCACTTTTGACTCCGAAATGTGCTTCGCGCCACAACTGCGTGCACTTTTTTCTACATCTCAACTTCCAAAAGTGGTTCGGAGCTGGGGTGTTTTGTACATTTTGAATTCGAAATGTGCTTCGCGCCACAACGGCGTGCACGTTTTCGACGTCGCAACTTCTACAAGTGCTCCGAAGCTGAGGTGTTTTGTACATTTTGACTTCGAGATGTGCTTCGCGCCACAGCAGCGTGCACTTTTTCGACATCTCAACTTCCAAAAGTGGTCCCAACGTGGTTTGCTTTGTACATTTTGACTTCGAAACGTGCTTCGCGCCACAACGGCGTGCAATTTTTCATCTCTCATCTGCCCAGCGGGCTCCGCACCCGTCGCTTTAGCGAGCCTACTTTTCGACCCTCCGAAGCCACAAATCATTGGAAAAACACAGTGTCTCGCGACTTTCCTACCTTTTCGCGCACCTGGATCTTCTTTCTTCTGAGACTTTCTCTTTTCTTCTTCGTTCTTCTTCTCTGCTCTGCGCTGACTCTTTCCGTCTCTGCTTTTCATCTGTCCATATTGTCGGAAGTTTGACGTTTGACTTCTAAACATATTTTAATTGATATAATAAAACATAATTTATATATATATGATTATATATGTGTGTAAGTATGTATGCATGTATATTAGGTATAAAATATCAATAAATATATATATATATAATACATGTGTTGTTATATGTATTGCATTTTATCTTTTATTACATATATCTATATATATACATATATATATATGTCAACGAATGTTAACTATGTTAATTTTATCCTTAACCTTCCAGTTACTACTGAGATAGGAAACTGTTGGATGATTTTACCTGATAGTTTTGGGGCTGGTTACCTATTTGATAGGCAAATGGAAGGTCGGGGTATGTTAATGGGACTTAATGGTGGATACTTGGGGTTATATAAATGCATATATATATATATATGTATATATATATATATACGTGTATACATGTATGTTTAGATATGATGTTAATGGGAAAGTCATGTATACTCTATATGTCATGGGTGATGTGAATATCATGGAAACTTTAACGAGCAAAAAATCATGTTGGGAATGTCATGGATACTTAGGATATGGTGAGATCTGATATACCAGGTTTACAATCCCTGCTCCAATTTCCACTGTGCCTCATACAAACTTTACATTTGAATAATCTATAGGGTCTATTTATGGGTTTGTGCTCTTCATTTTGTAGTGAAAAGTTAGGCACATTATTTTTTAAAGCTCAGCGGTTGGGTGTTTGAACCTCCTTTGAATTTCGAACAGGCATTTGGTAGCAAAAGACATGGCCTGGCAACCTGTTGAAACCCAATGTCATTTTGTAGCAAGGCATGGGCTTTCAGCGGCCACCCCTTCAAGCTTTGGATGCTCCCCCTTCAAGTAGCCTTACCAGGTAACCAATCATCATTTTGTAGTGGTAACACACGCCAATTTCTGATTGGTTTGTAGATGAGGTGTGGAACTGCCTACAAAGTGGGGGTCCCGATCCCATAGACGAAATTCAAAGGGGGTTGCGCCAGTTAAGGGCGATGCAACTACATGGTTTTAATATGTTTTAATCTGGCGCTGATAAAGATAAACCGCCCTCCGGTGTCTTCAAACGTGGTAAGCCGGGAAAACCCTGAACTAAAAAATGTTGATAGCTGCGAGGGTCATCCATTATCGATTTTCCATTGCAAGTTTTGATTCCCAGAGGCTAACTCCAAAAAGTGTCGGGCTTGCGGTAGGTATCTCGAACTTGTCAATGTGGTATAATACATCTGGTTGTTGCTTTCAATTTGTTGATGGGCATGCAACCACACATAACATGGCAATTGGACATCCCCAAAGTAGTTAACGGTGGTCATAAACCAACGACCAACTTATGTTGTGTTTTTTTTGGCGGGGGGATGTATTTAATTTATGGGGACTACAGTGGTTTGTTTTTTTAAATTTAGTGGGACAATAGTGGCTAATTAATGGATCATCTAGCTGGTTGGTTCTGGGAAAGATGAAACGACGAGGCATGTAAGAAAGAACCACAAATGTTTAACATGACTTAACCATGTAAAGGGTTGATATATAGTTAGTATTTTGCATTGTTTGTAATGATGATTTGATTGGTGCTAGCCGTTTTTTTTGTTCGAGCGTCTTTGGGAAGATGATCCCATGACAAGAGGTTCTTCAGGCAGTTCGGCCAACTTGAGGCCAAGGAGCTACTATTAGTAAGAGTTTCCCAACCACATGATATTTCGCCATGACTGAGCGATGGCTTGATCGTGGTTTATCATGGTTTATCATGGGAAAAATCACGGTACGTCACCGGTTCAAACAATGAATCTCACCTTCCGGGGATTACGACGATTTCCACCCACCCAGGTTTATCAGACTTGATGCCTGAGACTGAGAAGATCTGGGAACCACATTTGCAGTCTGTCCCTGCACCGAAGTCCAACTTTCATAGTGATTTTCAAATGGCCAGGCGGTTGCTCGAAGATCATTTGCCCCGTATCCGCAATGAACTTGAAGTGCGCCACAAGAAGCTACCCGCACCAAAGTGCGAAGGTGCATTCTGTGAACAGATCTTATTCAAAAAAATCGATACCTTTGCCAGCAATGTTTCATCGTCAACTTGCATCTTGCCACAGCTGTGTCGCACCCTGCAAGAGGTAGAAACACAGCACGGACTCCACGTGTTGGCATCCTCCATGGTCGAAGCACATGATCCAACGGCACCAGTCACGCAGTTTCCAGGGCGCCTTCGACTTTGGTGTGCAATGATGCACTTCTTGGATTCCTGCTTCTGGCTGGATGAAGGGGTCTCCTTGAAAATCAGTTCCTCCAGCTCACCACAATTTTTTGTGGTGGATTTTCGCGACCCAACTTACGAAGAAACCGATCTGGACGGAGACACTTTCCACAGCCTGCTATGGTTGCAAAGTCTCCTCACGCGCCTTGGTGATGCTTCAAGCTCTACTGGTCTTTTGGAAGCGAAGCCAGCCAGATTTCAGGTGCGGGAAAGTTGGGGAATGAAAGAGATGTATATGTATGCACCTTATGTATCCAGCTTCAAAGGTTCCACTGGTGATTCCAAGCGAACAAGACTGACTTTCATTTGTGAAGCAGCGTGAAGTCTGTGAAGCATCGGACGGTTTCGGCCTTGGAAAAGAAGGGATACGATTGGGATGGGCACTGGGATGTGTTACTGCTTGATCACCCTTTGGGTAAACCAACCTCGCATGGAAAAGCCCGTTGATGGGTGAAGCGCCTGAAAAGAAAAGAATTGATGTAGTTGTTTACCATTACAAAGCCATACAAACCCTACTTCAATCGGATCTCGCCATGTTGGACTACTGGAGACTATAGGTACTGTATGTAGCCGTCCATGACCTATTTGACGCTGATCGCAAGGTTAGAACTTTGAATAAATATATAACTGGTTGAGAGAGGCCAGTTACTTGCAGCTAGGAGCAATGCACACTTTTGAGCTACCTGGAAGCCCAAACAACCGTTCTATTCATTTCGTATGTACGGATTGTTCACGGTGGTTGCTTGGGGGTTTCCCACCATTTGTTTCTGAACGTTTTGAGTTTCCAAAAGCATCTTAGGCCTGGGACCGTGTTATATCTTGCCCATACGTAAATGGGTCGTGTGAAAGATTGATGCATTTACCCCAATTTGATGCTGTTGTTTGATACTGGTACGATTTTTTCTTTTTTGTTAAATTTGGTTGACTATTTTGCAATTTCGTTTTTCCCGCCTTGGCGACTGAACATAGGATGGTCAATGCATGTCAATGCTATGGGATGCTATGGGCATGTGCGCGTCCATTGAAACCCCAGGTGCCAGACATATCCTCGATGTTTATTGAGAAACCCCAACCTGTGCCGCTCTATCCACATGTATTTCAGCTTTTCGTACACACACATACATCATCATACAACATAATTATACATAATATAATATATATATACACCCTTTTATACTTCTCAATGTTTGGTCATTAGATCTTAACCAGTAGATTTATCACACATCAATGAGTGTTGGATTTAGGGTTTCATATTGTCTTTTTCTTTCAACCATAGTTGCCCAAAAACATAGGGAGTTACGAACACCAATCAGATCAGATGTACTAAAATCCGCATGTTTCATGCTTGTCACTTCTGGGCTGCCGTCACTCTCAAGACGCAACCTGCCAACAGCGTTTTCCACGGCGTTCGGTGCGTGTGCCACTGGGGGATCGGGATGGCTGCTTTTTTCGCCCCGCTTTCAAGGGAAAATCGCGGAACATCAG